TTGGGGGAGGGCTCAGGGAGTATTTGACTTTGTGTTTTGTTTTCTTATCTCAAATTTTGCATCATTGCATCTAAGGCATAGAAAAACCATAAAAATTTGAAATTTTTCGAAAATGATTTCACAAAAACAGAGTGTTCATATAGCTTGCATTGTCATTTTAGGATTGTTTTAGTATGCTTTCACTTAGGGCTGTTGCATCATGCATTTGCATCGGAGATTATGATGATTATAACCTTGTAAATATGCCTATTCACTAAGTAGAACTCAGTGCCCTGGTTGTTAGTTCTCTAATGCATAATCGACTGAACTTGAAGTAAGACCGCACCATCTTTTGAATTCAACGCTTGACTTTCTTGTTTTTAGTCGAATCTCGCTTTGATCTGATGCCATTCCCTATCTATTTAAACTTGAATTTTGACTTATAATTATCATGCTGTGCATTGTGCTATGAACTCATGGATACCTTAAAATACTTGGACTTTCTTTTACCTTTTGATCACTCTTGCTAGTCCAAGTAGCTGACTCCCATCTTTGGAGCAGTTATTTCCCACCCTTAGCCTTAACCTTCTTTCAAGCCATGTATCATTTGTGTGTGAATGTGAGGCCTTATTCCGATTGAGCTTGGTAGAAAGTGTTAGGTCTGTAACGACAAGGATAGTATCTCATGTAGTTCTGGTTCACGTTATCTGGACCAGATAGGACTAGGTGGGTACTTAATTCTGGGTTTGGGTTGTGTTTAAAAGAAAGAAAAGGTTATGTTCATCATTGAAAGAAAAGAAAAGGGAAAAGAGTCCTAAGGAGAAGTAGCTAAAGTAAGAGAAGTCTAGTAAAGGATTTGGGTGTGCTAAAGTAAAGGAAAAAGGGTTCTGTAAATAGCTTAAAGAGATTGGGCAAAAGCCTTGTGTTTATAAGAAGAAAGAAAAGGGAACCCTAGTTGTTAAAGAAACCCGATCCGCTAGACAGAGCAGTAAGAAAGCTTCTCCTAGGATAGAAAGCAAAGAAAAGAAAAGGGATGATTTGAGTAAAGTCTGTAAATGCTTTGAATGCAAAAGGGTAGAGTTAAGTTCATGATTCTGGGATTAGAAATAGGACCTCTATTTGGGTTGATATTGATTACATTCTGGGTAGATGGGGTCTTATCCTTGTATGCATAACTTGATACTCACCTTTAGCATTCTACTAAAGCTCAATCATTCTTGAGAGATCCCCTGTTACGATTTAAGCCTGATCTTTAAGGGACCATCTTTGTCTCTAAAACCTTTACCCTTTAGCCAAATGTGTTCATATCCATTGCATAGTATGATTCATGGTTCCAACTTAATGAATGTTAAAGGGAATGTGCAGATTTGAATGCTTGATTTGATTAAGGCAGAGGTTAGGTTGAGATGTGAAGGAGATGGCTAATGTTTTTAAGTAGGGATCAGTCAACCTTGCATTCTAGAATTAGCAACCTGGACATTGACTTCACTTACTCTATATGCATGTTTTGGTTCTGAGTCTCCATTTTCAAACCTCTTCTCCAGGCTGGTTCTATCTGTTTGCTTGAGGGCAAGCAAGAGCTAAGTTTGGGGGAGTTGATATCTCTGTATTTTACCTCTTTTTAGCACACATTTCTTATGCATTTAGCTTAGTTTCCTCTCTGTTTCACTGCATTAATAGTCCTTTTTCATAAGATTTTCATCACTTAGTACGATTTGCATTGCATGGCATAGCATGTTGCATATTGGATGAGTTTTAGGTACTTTGGAGCATATTTGGGACTTAATGGAGCAAGGAGGAACCAACACGACCTTGGAGCTAGACTTGGGATCGAATTGGAGAGGAATGAAGTCGTTCAAGATCACCTGGGAGCAGTCTCGACCAGCTTATTTGGGACTTAATGGAGCAAGGAGGAACCAACACGACCTTGGAGCTAGACTTGGGATCGACGTCACGTCGAGATGGACGCCAAGAAGCAGCCTGGGAGCAGTCTCGACCAGACAGGCTCGACGTCACGTCGAGATGGACGCCAAGAAGCAGCCTGGGAGCAGACTCGACCAGACAGGCTCGACGTCACGTCGAGATGGACATCAAGGCGCCACCTTTGAGAATCACATGGTCTCGACGTGGTAGGCTCGACGACACGTCGAGTTGGCCTCCACCGACTCTCTATTTTGTCCTGTAGCCAATTAGGGCAACCTAGTATTTCCTATAAATAGGGGTACATGCTATTGTCCAGGGGATATTCCTTTTACCCAGCAGATATTCTTCTTTTCTCTCATAAACCCTAGTTTTTGTAATCGTTTTTCCTGTTGATCCTTTGAGTTTTTGGATTTCGTTTCTTCATCAAAGTTGTAGATCTCCTTCTCATCTATAACATACTTGCTTTTTAATGATTTCTGGGTTTGAAACGTTTTCTGGGTTTTTATGCATGATGTTCTTCAGTGTTCTTGAGTAGTGGATTAGGGTTCTTGAGGATGGGATAGATTAGGTGTGGAATCCTTAGTATATTTAGGTGGTTAAGTGTAGAATTGCTTGATTTCCCTTCTGGTTTAGTAGATCTTAATGCTACTTCCTCTCTGATCAATTGGAAGTTGATCTCAGACATTTCCACACCCAAAAGGTGTTTGATGAAATGTCTGAACCAACTATTCCAGAGATTTGCATACTCTAGCCCAAGAGATTGGATGTTTAGAATGCTTATTGACTTTATTAGATTGAATCATAATGCCTGCTAGGTTATATTTCTTCAATGAGAATTGAGTATGAAAGTGATTTAGCTTGAGAATCTCTGTCACGAGAGTGGATTGATTTGTATTCGAATCTATTGTCTAGGGATAGCTTGATTGAGTTTGTTAACCACCTAGGTAGGCTAAGGAGACTGCCATAATCGATTACCCCATTCCTCAGGACCCTTTATCTCTATTGATTGTTTAAATCTTGTTTTTGTTAGTCTCTGTTGCTTAGCTCGACCTGTTAGGCCTAGATCGTTTCTCTGCATTGTTAGGTTGTTAGTTTCTTTTCCAAAAGCTTATGCATGATAGTTTCTGGTCTTTAGTCTACTTCTTGTTCTTGTTTACTTGCTGTTTAGTTCTCTTTTATTGCTTTTAAATCCGGTATTTGCATGTTAAATTGGTTGCTTAGGATCAATAGAAACACACAAAACCCTTTCACAATTGGCTTGACTTATTTGCTTTCTGTTTCATATCTTGAATGCTTGCAGTCACACTGAGATTGGATTGATAACCTAATATACTACAATGGCATGTGTATTAGGGATTGATACCTGTTAGAGAGTAAAATCTGACTATCAAAGCTAAGGCATATGTTGGCATCAAAGATTCAGCGGTAAAGGCTTTCATTTGGAAGAATATTATATGTCGACATGGAGTTCCATATGAAATAGTCACCGATAACGGGCCACAATTCATTTCACAAGAGTTTGATGCCTTTTGTGCGGACTGGGGAATCAAAGTCAGTTACTCTACTCCACGATATCCGCAAGGAAACGGTCAAGCTGAAGCCGCGAACAAGACGATATTGAGCAATCTCAAGAAACGTTTGAATCATCTAAAGGGAGGAATGGTACGAAGAACTACAACCCGTCCTATGGGCCTATCGTACAACCCCTAGGCGACCTACAGGAGAAACTCCATTCTCTTTGGTTTATGGCATGAAGGCAGTAGTACCAGCTGAACTCAACGTGCCCGGACTTCGCCGAACAGAAGCACCATTAAATGAGGAAGAAAATTCAGCAATGCTTAATGATTCACTAGATACCATAAATGAAAGGCGTGATCAAGCTTTGATTCGGATTCAGAATTACCAGCAGGCAGCAGCCCGATATTACAATTCTAAAGTTAAAAGTAAGCCGTTCTTCGTAGGAGATTATGTGTTAAGGCGCGTCTTTGACAACAAAAAAGAAGAAGGTACCGGTAAACTCGATATTAATTGGGAAGGACCTTACATTATTACCGAAGTGGTTCGGAACGGTGTTTATAGGTTGAAAGACTTAGAAGACAGTCCAGTCAAGCGACCTTGGAATGTGATCAACCTAAAGAAGTTTTATGTTTAAAGCTACATGCATTTTTATGTACATGAACTACGGTGTGGCTTGATCCCGAAATGGGTACGTAGGCAGCTCGGAAACGAGTTCAGCTATTAATGAAAATTTTGTTTTATTTCTTTATTAAAGGAAAAGGTTCGACTGAGCGAACAAGTGAAGCAAATAAAGGTTCGGCTATGCGAACATACAAGAGATTGGAAATAGAGCGTTTATTCAAAAATGGAATGTCCTTCATCGTACACTTCAGGTTATGGAGATCTTGTTGCCGAGCAGAACACTTCAACTCCTTGACCAGCAAGGTCGAGGATTGGCTTCATACAGTCCGGAATTCGAGCGAAGTCAGAGATTCCAAGCTCGATCCATTCTCCAGGGTGAGATTCAAGGATGTGAAGATCTCTTGACACCGTAGTAAGCCTGCGTCGCATCCGGTTAATCTTCTTCCGGAGTCTCCTCTTTTCTAACGTAAGCTTCCGATGTTGAAGCGTAAGCGCCTCTATGAATGCCGTCGCTGTTCCTTGGTCCTTGATTGGGAGATCCCTGATCAGAGCGCACGGAGCTCGGATCTGAGACCTAAAAAAACTGCGAGGTGGAAGAGGCTGCCTGTTTGGCTCATTTGGAACGTCTTCGTTTATCATTCCGATCCTGGAAAAGTCGGGCATAGATTCTGAACATCGAAGGTTGAACTCCATACCTGTTAAAATGAAAAAGAGCGGCGAGGAGAAAAGAGAAGTTGAGACTATAATTTATAGGAATGTCATATTCCTAAGTAAGCTGCGGATTCTATCCTAGGAATGGAGTGATTCGCGGAGAGATTTATGCCCTCGAACAGATCCTGCATTAAAAGACGCATCTCCGAGAATATTTGAAGAGTAAGGAAAATTGCAAATGTTTCCATAAACAAAAAGGGGCCGAAGCCCATTACGAGTTCAAAATAAGTGAAGAAGTTAGAATACATTTATGGAAGAGGCTCAGGAACAGGCTCCTTCATCGCCGGTTTAGTCTTCGAAGTGAACGCCTTGTTCTTGGCATCCACTTCGGGATGATCCCGAACGCGTTTCCGACTGGTACTGGTCTCCTCCTCGTCTTCTTCCTCGCTATCGGATGGAACGGTATGGACCGGAGCATTCACGGGACCCGAAACTCCTTTAGCACGGAGATACATCCGGAGCATCTTCGGGATCTTAGCGACAGAATCAAAGTTCCGCCATTCCCATTGAAAGGGATCACTTTCCAAAGCCCGTATCTTCCTCTCCACCCGAGCGATGCGAGCCTCGAGTGTTTGCCTTTTGAGGCCTAGCCGCTGTCTCTCTTCACACAAGCGACGGTGTTTGTCGCAAGCCTCTTTCTTCTCCTTTGAAGGAAAGTGAAAGACGGCATGAGGGAAAAGAACGCCGGCCAGTTCAAAGACGTCACCGGACAAGAAGAGTGGGCTGCCGGGATCAATGGGGGCTATGTTTTCGTTTTCCATTGATATGGTGTTATGAAGTTTCTTGAAGAAAGATCAAAGCCGGACAAACTCCTATTTATAATAGGGTTAAGGTTTGCCTTGGGAATGAAAATTCAATAATGGTGGCGTGCCCTAGTGGTTTAAACCATTTTTGGAAAATCGAGAAAAAGCAATTATTGCATTAAAGACGAGCCGCTTTTCCTACTTTCAAGAAATAAGAAAGGAAAGAGCAACTGTCGCATTAACTACGAAAGTTTCTAAAGCCCAAGCTCAATAAATTTATCGAGTTGACTAAACCCGAAGTGGGGAACTCGCTTTAAGCTGAGCTCAGTTCTCGCATTCTAGAGAGAAAGGTCTGATCAGCCCAAAAATCTCGAAAGCATAACCACAAGGCCACAAAGGGTTAAAAGCGGACTTTGCAAACCCGCACATAATTTTAACCAAACCCCCTTGGGGTCAAAACCTAGAAAGGTTTAAAAGCCTCCTCAGGCAAATATCTTGTTCAAAAGAAATAATAAAGCCTCCTTAGGCAAAAACAAGTTCGAAATTAAGTTTTAAAATTAATGGGACAATTCCCAATTTAAAGTGGACGCTGCCACTACGGAGTAACAGCCACCTCGGACTCCGGCTCGACAGTCGGAGTTTCATTCGCCTACTTGGCTGGTGCTTGGTATGATGGAGCTCCTGGTCCGCCCACCACAGTACAACCATCCTCCGGGGTGACCTCCGATATCACAGGAACTTCAGGTGGGACGACATCTTCCGTCTCACTTGGGCCTGGGAAGGACAGTTCCAGTCAATTTTAAAAAAAAAACATAAAGTGAGAAAAAGGTAGTAAGAGTCAGGAGCCAAGCGTTACCTGCCCAGTCTTGAACCGATTCACTTATAGGAGGCGATTCAGTGAAGAATTCCTCGAAGTCCTGCGGGTTGAAGGTCGAAGTAGGAAGAGCTGCCAAGCGACTCCGCTTTTCAGAAAGATTAGCCGATAGTTCGGTCTTCTCTTGTACCTCGGAGAAATCTGTTTCATGGATTTGATCCAACAGAATCAGATTGCTCTCGTGCTCCTTGATGTCTGATTCCAGATCTGACCAAGCTTTCTCGGTTTGAATGAAGCGGATGGCTCCTTGGATCAACTCCATCCTGCGTCCCTTAACCTCTTTTCTGGCTTTTGATGTTGACCTCGCCAATTCGAAATCACGCAATTTGGTGATCGCCTTGTACTTCGTGTTAAGCTCAGTAAGTTGGTTGTTCAGGGTATCGGCGTTTGATTCGGATTCGTGAAGCCTACACTGAACACCAGAAAGCTCATCCTGGAATTTGAAGTTCTTGTCGTACTGGTCCTGCAGCTCCCCCTTTAACTTCGCAAGCTCGGATGTTAGACTATCGACCTTGTCCTCCATATCGTGCTTGGAGCCGGTAGAAGAGCTTAGTTCAGCCTCAAGAGTAGAAAGTTTTTTCTTCCACGCGTCAATCTCCTTTTCCCGACCAATGACCAGCCCCTCATAATGTTCAATCATGTCATTAAGCTCACTGTTAGCCTGGCATTATGCATAAAAACGGGATGGTTAGTTATTACGAAGAACGGCAGCACAATCGGAAAAATAAAGCGGAACTAACCCGAGATGAATGATGAGCATGAAGCAAATAGCGTTCACGAATCGCAGGGCGCCACTTGTTGAAGTCTGGCAGGATCGAGCCCGATCGGGTCTTGAAGCATCGGAAGACGCTGCCTTCTTTCTCCATAGCTGCGAAGGAGGAAGAGTTGTAAAAATTGGAATCTTAATAGAGACAAAAACTTTTAAGTATGTGTAAATCACCAAACCTGAAAGCGATTTGACTTGAGAGACAAGAGCAGGCTTTAACCTCGAGGAAGCATCTTGAGATTCAGAATCTCCCTTTTTAGGAGATGCACTCCGAGCAGTCTTCTCGCTGTCAGGCTGGGAAGAAGAAGACATATCAACAGGTCGAGGAGGACCCATTGGTTCAGTGGGAGGGGATGATCGAGGTGAACGGTCAGTCCGGGCCCTTGATTTCTCCCTTCGCGGAGAAGAGTCACTACGGGATGACTTGTCTCTCTTCCTGCGAACCAAGTTCTTAAGTGGTTCATTGCTAAAATCGTCTCGGGGAGGACGAGGAGAATCACGACGAGGAGATCGCTCTCTCCGAGGAGAACGTTCGTCATGACGTTCGCGACGAGGTGTTAACCTATAAGCAGCAACGGATCTGGCTCCCTCGGTGCTGTTATCATCAACCAGCAGGGTCCTGTTGTAGTCTTGTTTTCATCACAAGCCTCTGCTATCGGCTTGGAGAGTTTCTTACGCTGGGCAGTAAGGGCCCGAGCTGACATTCCCTGAGTTGAGGGAGGAGGCGGAAGACGATGGAGTAGATTGGGAGGACTCATCCTGAGTTTTTGGTTGGCCTCGACGAACCGATCGAGGGTGAAAGAGTTCCAAAGGGTTTCCCCTTCAAGGATTGTTTTGAAGAACTTGACGAATTCTTCAGTCGGAAGAGTCGAAGCGATGACAGCTGCGAAGTGAAAACAACGAGTTTGGTAAGTAAAAAATAAAACAACCAAGGAAGGAATACACGACCTAAATTCTACCAGGCTTCGCAAACCACTTCGATGGGAGTACATCGGAAAGATTTCCAATTGAAGCAGGAGTTTTCCTAATCAGGAACCAAGGATGGTGCCAGTTTTCATCTTTGTTCGGGAGATGCGAAATGACGTTCCTGTTGGAATTCGGATACGCCGAGAAGTACCCTGTTTTCTTTGATGAACTCCTTACACTTAGGAGTTCATTCAGCTCGGGGACTCCGATGACGTAGCCAGCCTCTGCCGCAACGGTTATAATCCCGAGGATGGTTCGGAGGAGATTGAGGGTTAGTTGAGGTAAAGCAATCTCAAGAGCCGCCAAGAATCGAACTAGGGCTTCGGGAAGAGGGAAGGTCAATCCGCAGCCCTTGAAGTAGATTTCGTAAACACAAAAGTACCCGTCGTGGTGGTTCTCCGGGGATTCCGTAGGATCGGCTATATGTGCCTCCGCTATGATTCCAGGAGGAATTTGGCAAAGCCCCTTTAATTGCTCAAGGGATTGAAGAGTACAGGTGGATTTGTAATGAGGACCGGCAATATCGTTAGGACGAGTGCATTCGTCATTGCTAGAACGCCTCTCATCGTAAGACGGAGATTCAGGTCTCTCAGAATCGGAAGTCATCGGAGAAAAATGAAAAATTCAAGATCCGGCGAAGAGAGGTTCGGCGAAGAAAAGTAGAGAGAAGTTTTGATTAAACCACAAAAGTAAAAGAAGAAAATGATGGTGAGAAAAAGTTACCTTACACAAGCTAAATGATGAAACCGCCTCAGAAGTTTTGTGGGAAGTGGGAAGGTTTTTCCCGTTTTAATAGTAATTAATTACTATACGGTCATAATGATGACAGATGTCATTCGGTTAAAAATGGCTAGTGCCGGAATTAAAGGAGTGATGAGATTTTTGGCGGGAAATCAGAAAGATTCTCGAGCGCAATCTTTGGTCATTTAAGCATTTAAAGTCCTTCGAATTGGAATGGCACTTCGAAGAACTTGGGGGGCTAATTATTGGTGTCGGATCCCGCACCAGAGGTACAGGACCAACCAAAGATTGCAACGCAGTCAGGGTAACAGCCCATAAAGGATAAAGCCCATTAGACCCACAAGTCAAAAGAACAGTCAAAGTGGTTATCACCATAAGGAGAATTCGAAGTGATTGCACTTCAATATGAGTCCGACATCAAAGTCACGGTTAATTCGGTTCAAGGACATTTGGGCCAAAAGGCGAGGCCCATGAAGATCAGAGTCAACTCAAATTCAAACGTTAAGCATTAAAAGCAAAAGATCAAAACGGACACATTTAAGAGGGAATAATTGTACTTAATTAGCCACTTAAATGTCGTTTTACGTATAAGTATAGAGGCCAATGGCCATGTAAAGGGGATCTCTCTCTTGAGCAAGAAATACTATAGCAATTTTTGTAGCAATTCATAAGCCTTTTACATTCTTACTTTTTGTCCCTCAAGAATAATCTTTCCTATTTAATAAAAATACTTGAGTGTGTGAATCCGACATCCACAGTGGTGGATGCAACTACTTTTCGATTCCTCATAAGTCTGGCCATAAGAGAAAATCTAGATTTGCGGTTAATGGATGTTGTCACCGCATATCTCTATGGGCCCCTGGACAATGAAATATACATGAGATTACCAGATGGCATAGAGCTTAAAGATAAGCATGCATCTCGAGATCAGTACTGCATCAGGCTGAACAAATCCTTGTATGGACTGAAACAAAGTGGACGTATGTGGTATAACCGGTTAAGTGAATATCTCATCAGAGAATGCTACAAAAAAGATCCCATTAGTCTGTTGGTGTCGGATCCCGCACCAGAAGTACGAGACCAACCAAAGATTGCCACTTAGTCAAGATAATAGGCCCATAAAGAATGAAGCCCATCGGACCCAGGAGTCGAAGGAACGGTCGAAGTGGTTGTCACCACTTCGACCATCCGAAGTGATTACATTACGACATGAGTTCGATGAAGAAGGCATGGGTAAGGTGGCTCAAGGATATTTGGGCCAGAAAGGCGAGGCCCACAAAAATCAGAGTCAACTCAAATTCAAACGTTGAGCATTAAAGTCGAAGAAATCAAAACGGACACATTTAAGAGGAAATAATTGTACTTAATTATTCCTTTTAATGACAATTCTCTATGTATAAATATAAAGGCCAATGGCCATGTAGAAGGGGACTTCCTCTCAAGAGAGAAATACTATAGCAATTTTCATATCAATTTACAAGTTTTTACGTACTCATTTTTGTCCCTCAAGAATAATCTTTCCCACTTAACAAAATACTTGAGTGTGTGAATCCGACATCCACATTTTGGCGCCGTCTGTGGGGATAATCAGGATTCTTGAGTGTCAGATTTTTTCTTTTCTACATTTCCGAGATAAGCAACAATGTCCGGAGGAGACGCTGTTGAAACATCATTGGCCGAAACCCTCAAAGCTATGCAGCAAACCATGTCGGACATATCACAAAAGTTCTCGGATGTGGAGAAGGCCGTCGATACGTTGCAAACATCCCAGGTATCTCTTAGCCAAAACGTCAATAATATACAAA